TTATCCTCTCTCTCTAAGGTTACATCGTGGCTCCTTTCTTTCTATATTCTACCCTTTCTAATCATCAAGTTCACAAATCACAAGTTTTTTTTTTTGTTTTCAGCAAAAAGTCCATAAAGCGTTTCCAGTGATTAACAAATGTAGTTATTGTCTTTTCTGTAATCAAACAAGTCAAGTTGCCATCTCTGCAGAATATTTTATAATATTCCAATAAAATATTTATTTATATATTACATTGCAACATACGTTTATTGTATTTTGCCCTGAGTCCCTAGGATAAGGGACAGGTAATATATTACTTGAATAAATATATTAAATAATAAGTTACTTATAAGTTATAATAAGTCATTATCACTCACCAAGGTCAGAGAAACACAAAAGGAGAAAGGAGAGTCACACTTTTTTTCTTCTGTCCTCCCTTCTGTCACCATTTATGAGTTGAGGTTGAACATACATGATGGAGAAGTTTTACAGCCATGTGATATTGAATCCAAAAAAAAATCAGTGCTATACATGATGTAGGAAAGCTGTCTAGATATAAATCTGCTGCAGAAGTTTACCTTCCACATACATGATTTATATGACAACTAATATGTCACATGTTTGTTCAACTAGTTCTCAGAGCTCTGGGTTGCAGATATCCAAACAATAATGAGATGGTAGCAAAAAGTAAAGTTTGCTGTCTCTTAGCTGCTATTTAGTGGTATGCAGATTTTTGTATTCCAAACATTTGTTAAATTCCCAAACAGAATAACTGAACAGAGCTAGTGATTTGTCTCAACCTACCCAGAGAACTTCAGCTCTGAATCTTCTCTTTCTAAAGTACATTCTACCCATCCTATCAACCTGTTTTCTTCTGAACATAAAGCTCTAAATCTAGACTAAGAATTTTTCATTCTTCTCTACCTCATGGCAAATTAATACAGATACACTTTTTTTCTCTTTCAAAATCCACAAGTGCCCTATTCCATATTTTCAAGGAGGAACAGCTTTCAAATATAGACACTATTCAATTTACCAGAAATATATCAATTTTACAATACCTAAAACATGAAGCATTGTCACAGTCATAAATCTCTAAGGTCTTAAAATGAATCCCTGAATAGTTGGTTTATAATATCCAAAGACCTTAGAGCTAATATAAAGCTTGGAAAAATTAGCAATGATATTGCATTTTATTGTATCAAGCCTTATGCCTACACTGTCAGAATGACAAGTTTATCATGTTACCATACATATTGAGATTTGAACTGAGCTTCAAATATTATACCTGGTACCTGAGTCCAGTATGGCTTGCTTTTTTTACCATTTCAAAATAACTGCAACATAAACTGAATGCTTATTTTCTGTAATTCAAAAACCAGAAGTGAAATAAAAACAAGTCTGAAAACTGGACAGCTGTAAACCATGTACTTTTGAAATAGCATCATTATGGACAGGAGAACTAAAATACTGTATTGAATGTTCACAGTTATGACTAAAGTTGAATTAAGAAATGTAGCCCTATACAGAATAATTTTGTTAAAAGATGAAAATGGTTTACCAAGTATTGGCATAGCCCGTTCAGCAGCTGTTTCTTAAAATACAGATTATGTTGCATGTTTCTCACCCCACATATTTCTGCCCACTTTTTATTTCCTAATTCACTACTGCCAAAAGTTTCAAAAAGTTTCAAAAAGCCCCTCTCTAAGAGCACTACAGGCTTGTGATACACTTCAGAAAGTGTAGATAATTTCTTTGTTATAAAATTAGGAGCTATGGCAGCAAATCATAGACAGAAAAAGATACTAATGGTAGCATTGCATTAGACATCAGGCTTTAAATTAAATTCCTGTTTTAACTAGTACCTTTAAAGAAATCATTTTCACTTAGGACTTTTCACTTTCTCCATTATTTAATTGAAGGGCTACTCACTAAGATAGCTTCCTTGTTGTTTGCAGATACTCCATTTTATGGTAGCCAGTCTAGATTTCTATGGGACTTTATGCTTCTTCTAGTCTCCAGATCCCAAAGGCCAACTCGATTGCTTGAGGTTCCTTATTCCAGATGGGATAGTCTTGTCTTGAGGAGTTCAATTTCCTGGAACAATACGCACAAAGTATGTGTATTTTCCATAGCTTGCAGCAGAATGGACCTCATAGCAGCATCTGAAACATCTGTTTAAGTGAAACAGTTGAGTAGGGTCACGGCATTGCAGGATAGGCTGAGTAGAGAATGTTTCCTTTTGCTTTTCAAACAGGAGCCAGAGCACCCAAAATTTATGGAGTTTCTGGTGCATTTCAGCAAAACCTGGAATGAAGAACCTATAATTATTTATCCAAGCCCATTAATTTCTGATGTCCTTGATTCTCTGGAAGAGTTATCAGGACTGGATAGCTTCCACCTTGTGAGGGTCCGTGTAGATCCCTCTTGGAGAGATACAGTACCCAAAGAAATCTGTGGTGGTAGCTTCAAACTCACATTTCTCCAACGTAGCATACAGGTGATATTCTCAGGGATCTGCAACATCCTCCAGATATATTTTTACAAATTGATCCATAAAGTCCTGGAAGATGTTGTTTATTGGTTGCTGGAAGACTGCACTGTATTGCATAACCCAAATGGCATCACTGTATATTCAAAGTGGACATATTGGGTAAGGAAAGAAGTTTTCCATTTTGTTACATGCTCAGACGTGTTGGAAATGGTAATCCCCACAGAGGTCCAATTAAGTGAAGATGCATGCCTTTCACAAATACTCCAAAAGTTCAGTGATCACAGCCAGTTGATATCTATTCCAGAAGGAGATCTGGTTGAGAGCCAGTAATAATTGAAAAGTCATCGTTCCCTGATTTCTTTCTTATGAACAGCATAGGGGCAATACTGGGTGATGTACAGGGGCAGATTAACCTTCTCTTAAGATTCTTGCTGAAGAAATCCCACAAAGCCAACTTTGAAAGGGGTAGAGATGCCCAACTGGAATTTGGCTCCAGGGATCAGGTCAATGGGGCAGTTGCAAAACTGATGAGGTGGTACCTATTCACCATCTTGCTCACTGAAGACATCTGCAATGTTGGGTATGTTTAGCTTGCAAAAAGCAGGGGGGGGGAGAACTTAGTGGAGGTATCATAGCCATTGACAAATATCTAAAATATGCAGCCAGGTCAGATCTGTTCTCTGTTAAAACTGACAGCAGGATACAGGCCAATATGTATATAAAGATAAATGAGTTGAAATTTTAAAAGATTCAGGCTGAATATTAGGATAAATTTCCTCATGGTAAGATTTGCTAAGCAATGAAATATTTTGCCTAGAACAGGGGTGGATCTCCTCTCACTGAATGGTTCTAAATTGTAATGGTATGTGGGAATTACCTTAGGAGGGAGAGCCACAGACTGGACAACTGGCATGTAAAAGATGTCTCAGCCGCTGAAGGGGGATGGCGTGGGAAACATTTCAGAAGGGAACCAACCTTAGTTTTCTGGAGAGTAAAAGGAAAGGAGGGGAGAAATACTTTCAGTCTAGCAAGATTCTGTTAAGGTAACCTAACAATACAGATGGAGCTACTACTCCTGATTGTGCTTCTTGTCTAGACTATCTCACAGGGCTAACACAGACTTGGACAACTGCTTTTCAGAATTGGTTTAACAGGTTTTTGTTCTGGGCAAGGCATTGTTGGATTAGATAGCCTGTAATGTCTGTCCAACTCATACTTTCTTGATTCTATGACTGCCTTTGCTTTGTTTTTGCTGTTTGAATCTGGGACTGGCTTAATAGGCCACATTTGAACCATATTTCTGCTCAACCCTCTGCCTGTCTATTGTATCTTTGCAGGAACTTTGACTATCTCATATTCCCAGTTGCTTTCCTGCTTAGCACAGTTAATCGGGACAAGACAGTACCATGCAGCAGTTTAGGGCCAGAACTTTGCAGTTCTCATTTGAAACAGGACAGATTAGAGCAATCTACTCCACTTCAGAAAACCATAATTCCAGTCCAAATTACCCTGATCAGGATTTTATCCTTTTTTTCTGATTTCCTATACAGATAGTCCAACTTAAATATTTATGCTATCAAATACAGAATTTGTGATCCAAGTAGAATTTGGAAAATATTAAGAATCCATCCCAAAGCATCCTGGAAGAAAAGGGAAGGCAATGTCTACATAGTTGCTAAGAAAACTATACCTGCAATTCATATAATTTTCACTCTTCCATTCCAGTATGTTCTTAGTCACTTAGCTCTGTAGATTCCTTAGTGCAGCCATTCTGTCTGAGAATTCTGCAGTCCCAGTACATATCAAAAAGGCCACATTGGGGAAAGGTACTCTAACTGCATTATTATTTTGCTAATAATGCCCCTGTTACAATATATAAAAAGTTCATGTCATGTTTTCTGGAAGCCCTTTTTTACTGGTAATTTGCATGACAGCAATAGCGTTCATGGTGTTCTTTTTACAAGGCTTGTCTCAGTGGCTGGCTATATGTTCATGCTCTTTCACCAGGATTAAAAATAATGTCAGCTGTCTTAATACCCTGCAAATCCGTCAGGTGTCAGTTACTTCTGATTTTGTATAAAAAGGACATTGTGAGGCTTTCTTCTCTCAGCAACTAATTCCAGCAACTAACTCCAGCAAGTCTAGGACAGGTAACTTTTCATCAGATTCTTAATTTGCATTGTTTGGCAAATGACAAGCTCTTTATAAAATTTCATGCTTTTTAAAAATGGTAGTAATAATAACATTTGCTGCCTCATTTATTGATTATACTCTTTTTAAAAAAAAATCATTTCTAGGAATAAAAAAGTTGTTCATCTATTACTATTTTTAATTATTCAGGTGTTAACTGGTCCTTTCTTTTAGGCATCTAAACACAGCACTGAACAGATCTCTTGTCCTCTAACTATAATTCAAAACTAATTTTCCTGTTCAAACATGGTAACTGTTGTCTATTTCTAGAGGTTTGTGGAAATGTACACCTCTCTGTTTAAGTATTTCTAAATTCTTGGATTTGAATTACAGAATGAAGGCAACCAGTTTCTATGTTCTGTTATTTTTTTGCTGGAAAATGATTTATTGTCATTCCTGTGAGCTGTCCAATATTACAATAGCAGTGGAGAAGGAAGAATGCGGATTTTGCATCAGTGTAAATGCAACCTGGTGCTCTGGTTACTGCTTCACAAAGGTGAGGATCCAGGAGGGTAAGAAGAAGTAAAGCATTTCCTAAATACAAGCCATAATTCACAATTCTGACAAATATTTCTGTCAAGTTCAGAAATATAACTGCCATAACTGTCAAATGACAAGAGCTGATGATCTGATTTAAGAAGATGCATGTAGAACTAGTCCAGTGAAAAATCCTTTTGAATAGATATCCCTACAGAGCAATTCTATGTGTTTTATTTGGAAAGAAAGCAGTATTCAAGTATGGATAAAATTGCTGCTTCAATACTTCAAACCTAAACTTAAGTTCCTGGAAATAATTTTCATTAAAATCGGTAGGGTTTAATGTCCAAATCAAAGTTCTCTCTCTAAATTTTACAGCCTAAAGAGATATTCCTAGTCTGAATAGCTGTAAATGATCTGCATTTACACCTGATCTCCTAGTGTAAGAATGTTTCTGTGGCTGTGATGCTAACTCCTTGTTGAAGATATATTTTATGAAACAGAAGATATAATTAATATCATTTATATATTTATAGGATGCAAATATAAATATATTGTTTATATGAGACAGGTAATGGAGTTCAGTAGTTTCCTGAATTCTGTTGACTCACTATCATGCATAGCTGAACTCCAAGGAAACATGGACTCTACCTGGAATAAACTAATAAATTATTGCTTTCTTGGGAAGGAAATATTTTTTATGTTTCTTATTTCTTTGTTATTCTAGCTGTTGTTCAATTTCAAGAGTTGTCTGTTTTCCTACAGATCAATATGCATACAGTATTGCTTCTTGGAAACAGAACTGGAGCAAACAGTCTTGTAACAAATGTTTTGAGATATGGCAGACCCGAAAATAGGGCTGAGGTCTAATTTAACAAATCATTAAAGTTCCAGAATATGATCAACTTGCTTAACGTGGGGTTTGATGATATTTCTAGCAATAACAAAGTGTTGGGCTTAGATACTTCAGAAAGGCCATTTGTTGACATCTGGGGTTTAACATTTCTTTTCTTTTGTTTTCTCCTATAATTAGAAACCAGTTGATATGAGCCTTCAAATCCAATATGTCCAGAATGTCTGCACATTCAAATCAATTGTGTATGAGACTGTAAAGATCCCAGGTTGTGCTGGCCATGCAGAATCATTTTATTCCTACCCTGTTGCAACAGGATGTCACTGCAAGACCTGTGACACAGACATTACCGACTGTACCTGGAGAGGCTTGGAGCCAAATTATTGTTCCTATGGCCAACATCGGATCAGGGAGTGAGGCTTCATAGTGTTCTTTGTAATGCTTGCTTTGTAAAGTCATTGTCAACAACACAACCCTGTAAAGAATGTAAGAGAAAGGGCAAGGCGTAAAGCCAGCCCATCAGCTTTATATACATGTTGCATTCCTCTTCAGTACCCTAGCCAGGGCACTTCAGTGTTTTATCTTACACCCAAACATTTAATCGCCTTTAAAGCTCACATCCTCCAAATTTTGGTTCTAACCCATCCTTCTTCTCCCTCCAATTCTGAACTTCTTGCTCCTGCTTCCATTATCAACTGAGTATTCCCCACATTTCTCTGCTGAGTATCAGTATTGCCACACTTTTTGTATATTCATGTTAATCTCCTGCTTATTATTACTGTCTATATAAAGAATCTAGTCTATAGTTTTGTGATGAGATACAGTAATACAGAGCTTTGATTTCAGCAGGATTCAGCTACATGTAATGCATAAGGCTCACTTAACAGGGCTTGGAAGTTTGTTTTATACCACATTCTATATGTGTGATCTGTAACTGGGGTTTGGGCAGAAGATAGACTAGATCTACTGGTAAATTTTTAAGAAACTTGCAGTAGATCAGCAAGTATTTAATCAATAGCAGCAGCAACAACAGCCACAAAATGGCTCCCCTCCCTGAAATTACACTGTTGAATGAAGAAAACATAGGATAACCATGGTAGATTTTGGGGTGGAACAACTATTCTGGTGCTCAAAACAAATTCCTGAGCTCATAATGCTTTTATACTAAGGTTCTATTAATTTAGGGCTTCTAGTAAAAAAAGAATACCACCAGCCAAACATTTGCTCAAGCCAAAAGTTGTAGCTGCTGTTGCAGTTTAAATACTGTATCCTGAGTTTCTGGGAATTGAACATGGCATTTTTGATATGGTGCATCCTTCCCCTCCCCCCCCCCC